CTAAATCCCACTCGGGTGTTTTACGAGGGGTGACGGGAAGGTCCGGCCGGCCCGACGGCACAAAAGGCCACTCCTGTTTTATGTTGGGAAGGGGTCGTTCGGAGGGGGCTCGGGGGGCCTCGCCCGATTAACGGCCACTCAAGCGTAACAAACGTCGGTATAAACGGCCTCCCGAGAACAATGCCCCGTAAAAACGCTGACGTCAAGAAAAGGCCCCGATTCCGGACGGGCCCGTTCGGTAAGGTCGCCCACCGGCACACTCACCAGGCCGTCGCAGTTGCTCATGGCGACCGAGGCCCCGGGGACGTCCGCGATGTCGCCCACAAAGGCGCAGTCCGTCTCGAGCGAGCCGATCCTCGCGGCGCCGCGGCGGGATCCGGTCCGGTCCGTGAGCGGCGGGGAAGCTCCGCCGGCGGTGCCCGTGCCCCGCTCGTCGTGCCATTCCACCGTGGCCCCCGGGGCCACCAGCCGGCGGTTGGGCCGCAGCCGCAGATGGAACTCCTTGCCAAAGGCGCTGATGTTGAAGTAGAGCCGATCCGACAGGGGGGCCGGCGGCGGCGCGGCGGACGCCTCCCTCCTGACTCGCTGCTTGTGGCTGGCCGACAGCAGGTGGGACAGGAAGCGCCCGTGGGCGTCGGTGCTGAAAGGCGTGACCAGGCCGTATTCCTTCAGACGGCGCGTCAGGGCATCTGCAACACAAGTCGCCATGTCAAAAAGACACCAAGCGGAGCGTAGCGCCCGCACACGTATGCTGACAACGTGAAAGATGGGCCAAGGGGCCAAGGCCGAGCGCTCGCTCACCGGACACGCTTGCTTGCTTGCTTGGTTTTGGAACACGTTTGCAACATGAGCGCCGACGCGCTTTCCGCTGGCCGAAAAGAAAGCAAAAAAGATCCGGACACAGAGCGCACCCTGCGTCGAAGCCCTCACTTGGAGCAAGACGCGCTGAGGTCACGGCGACCCGATGAGAGCCGCAAGGGGGACATTTGCACTGTGGATGCAGGAAATGAAAAAAGAGCACGCCAGACAAGAACAAACATGGCTTTGTTTGCCGTTTTCTGCTGCTTTTCCACCGAGAAGCTGTCAAATCCGGGCCGCGTGAAACGCAGCATTTGGAAGGACAAGCATTTTGACTTTTGTTCAATCTTACGCTGCATTTCCACCGCAGAAGCGCACAACAATAAATATAGACACACACACACACACACAATTTATACTGGTTAACTTATTTTTAGGCGAATAAAAGCGTGTGAAGATTGACATTTTTCAAATCCTTTCTATTTTCAATCGCCTACACGGTGAAAAAGAAAGACTTGGCACGATGACCACAGTTTGACCCACGCACCGACTCTTTGCTACAGCGGAACAACGCTCATTGTCGGCGGCCATGTTTTTTTTGTTGTTGTTTGTTTTGTTTCTGCACCCCCAGAAGGGAAAGTCCCCACTTTCCCAGGCGGACCTTGAATGCAGCACGCCGGCAATTCCCCGCTTTTTCAAATGGCAAAACAGGAAGTGAGCAAAGAGCGGTCAAGCGTGAGCGGAAGCGGCTTTAGCAGGGACATAAGGTGGCGCGGCACGGACCGCGTCGAGGCTCGACTCCTCACTTAACCTCCCGATGGAGAACAGATGTGGAGGAGCCAGAGGTGGAATTCGCACTTCCTGTCTGAAGGGAGCCTGTAGAGCACCGGAAGACCAAAAGTGCGCGTGTCCGTGTGAGGGGGTCGCGCGGTTTTTCAAACGACTCGCCTTGTCGCCTCACCACATACATCGATCACCAAGCGCTTCTCCAACGGACCCGCGGGCATTGCTTTCCGTAGGTGTAAAAAGCAGGACGCGAGAGAAGTCGACCGCGAGCGGCTTCCGCCCCGAACTGGTCAGCGGGGCGCACGCTGAGACAAACGGCCATTCCCAACCGATCCCGCGCTGCCTGCGCACGAGCCGGCCCGGAGGACGCCGACACCGTCGGTGCGGTGCCATCCATCAATGACGTGGCTCACTTTTACTTTGTCCGGTTTTTTTGAAATCTGAGATGCAAGTGCTGTTTTTTTGTAGATTCCTTCCTCCCCACCATTTTTTTTTTTCATTGAAACTCACCTTCTCGATCATCTTCGCCAGCCTGCAAGACAAAGGGAGGGATTTAATGAAAAACCATTCAATAGTCACGAACCGGGCACGTGCAATCTTGTGAAAATGACCCCCCTCCCCTCCACTCCCCCAAAAAGAGCCTTATTTTAGACGTTATGTAACGGGACAAAGTGTGCAGTGTGTGTGTGTGTGTGTGTGTCAACATCTCACACACTGCGAGCATTTAAGGGTGTCAAACGTGCAAGCAACTTTTTTCCCCCCTCCGGGCAGTCAGTCCCTCTTTTAAAGGTTGATCGTTTTCAAAAAAAAAGGAGACATTTGACCATGAAAGTTGTTACCTGGGCGGCTGAAGTGGCGACGAATCCCAGCAGCACCAACAAGGCGACTGACAGCGCGGCCATCGCGAGTCTTGGCAAGGAAAACTGAAGAAATCAACAAACGGCCTGTGCGGCAGAAGCTTGCCTCCCTCCGCCTTGTCCTGGTTTTGGGTTTTTTTTTTTTTCTTTTTCGCCTTTTGGTTTGTGCGAAATGACGCGCGGAGTGCAGAGAGGCGAGTTGCGTCACTTTTGGGGGTGGGGGGGTCACTCGGTCACTCCAAAGTTGACGCGAGTCCGCCGCCGCTCACTTCTCGGACGCCGCACAGCCGCGCGACCAGCCAGCCCGCCTCGCCCGCCCGCCCGCTCGAGCCCCCGCCTCGCAAACCAAATAAGGCAGGCCCTCGGTGACGTCACCGCAGCCAGACCCCCGCCGTGCGTACCCGCGAAGGGTCGACGGCAAAAGTCTCCACAGTCCTGTTGTTTCATTTCAGAACTTTTTTTTCCTCCGTTTTAATGAGACCGAGAACCTGGAAACATGGAGAAGAGGACAAGAAAAATCAATATGGTTGCCAATGCCCCCCCTCCCCCCAAATATACAAATTGTGTGTGTGTGTGTGTGTGTGTGTGTACCTCCACAGCCCGGTACCAATTGTGACTTCGTCGTTGCTGTTTTAAGGGAGTTGACTGGAGCTTGAGGCCAATCAGGTCCAAGCTGCAATTGGCCAGCTGGTTCCCAGGTGCTTGCAATGACCTTTGCCTGAAACAATTCGCGTCGACCGGACGTATGAAGCACCACACGCTGATGTCACATAGGAACAATTTTGGATGGAGACAAATGTGCACCTTTCTCCCATCCAAAAGCCCCCCAAAAAAACAGCATTTTTAAGATGCGTTTTATGTCCTCACAACAACCTTGTCACCTGTTTTCCGAGTTGGGTCACGTGACGTTCGCAAGCCGAGCCTCGAGCAATTTGTGATGGACAGCGAGACGGGCCGCCCCCGAGATGGAGACAAACGGCTGCATTTTGCTCCCAAATTCTTCTTCCGCCAACGCAATCTGAATGCAAATGCTGCGTCCGCTCTTGTAAAAAGAAAAAAAGGGGCATTGAAGATATTTTGGGAAGCTCACTGCTTTCTCCACTGTATGAAATTGAGAACATCTCGGTTTTGGACTTGACTGCCACTTGAATCCTTTGACCTGATGTGCGTGTTTGCTCATGGTGAAAACACTTCGCATGTATTTTTCGTTTTGGAGGAAAAAAAAGAAAGAAAAGGGACATATCAGGGGGTATAATTTTTCAAATAATTCCCGAAGAAAGACTTTCCCTCTTTGCTTTGCTTTGTTGAACTGCAGAGCAAAAACTTTGACGGTTGTCAAGATCAACGAAAAAGAAGCGATCGTAGAAAGAGGCGTTCGGAAACGTCCCCAGAAATTCTTCATTCAACAGCCCCCTCGGAGGATGCCCGATGGAGGACCATTTGAGGCCAGCGACGAGGAGGCGGGCCGACCGTCGACCACCGGCCCGTCGGGGATCAAGTTGACCCCCGGCCTGCCGACGCCGGGGGCCGCAATCTGGAATGTTGCCTTTTGACTCTTTCTGCTTGCAACACAATGCCCGGCAACGTCTTTAGCGGGCAGGTTATGTTCCGTTGACAAAGGCCCGCGCCGCACCTCATGGGCTCACTGACGCATGCTTCTTGTTGTCGATGTGTGTGTGTGTGTGTGTGTGTGTGGGGGGGGGTGTCACAATAAAACAATCGGCGGCGGCTAAAAGACGGGACATTCCATTCGAGGGTGGGAGCTAAGAATAATTGACATAAATTAAAAAATGCTTGTCATAGCCTGAATGGGGCTACCCCCCACCCCCTCCTCCACCACCACACACAAATGAATGGGGGGGGGGGGGGAGGCCTTCTTCTTCGATCCCTCATGTCCAACCATTGAGACATGACATGCGCCTCCAAGAAGTGCAAGGCAAGCTGAGGCCTGAAGTGAGCTGCGCTTGTGCCTTTTCCCTCTCTCTCTCCCTCCTCAGATGGGAAGAACATTTTCAGAAGCCGCGGACCCTCAAAATCACGTCCGCGAGGCGGCTCCCGTGAAAGTCCTCCTTGATGTCTGCCGGCGACCTTTGCCTTTGAGGCACTCGCCGCCGCGGCCCGCCTCCCGTTGACTTTCTTCCCAACCGGTCATGCTGGGCCCAACACGCAACGCCATAGCGACGAGCGACCGTCCGCCCGCCTGCCCGCCCGCCGCTTTAACAAGGCTCATTTCGAAGGCGGCGCTGCAGTGGAAAGGGCAATAAAAGCCGTCGGAACCGGGGGCCCCCGTGCGGCGCTGCTGCACCGTCAGATGCCTTCTGACTCCTGACCAGACTCCGAGAGGGTGGGGGTCGGGGTTGGGGGAGAGGAACCCCCCCCCCCCCCAAAAAAAAAAAAAAAAACCCCCCCAAAAAAAAAAAAAACCTCACGTCCATTTGTGAACATGAATGTGATACAAAAGTACAAGCGCAGCTCACGGTCGTCACGTGACGGGACAAAAGCGATCCGAAACGAGAGGAGGTCAACCACGTTCACACCTTACAGGAGGAGAAACAAGCGGCACGCGACGTTGAAAAGTTGAGCGATGAGACAAAAGGCCTTTTCATGCTGCGCACTGTCAACGAAGCCCGTCGTCTTCTCCTACTCGCAGTGAATCCGGAGCGGCGCCGGCGTGACGTCGGGAGGCGCATCCGATGGCAAGGCGGCCGACGGAGCGATTCCGGAGCGCAACCGGCGCGAGAGCAAGCTCCCGGTGACGACACACACACACACGCACATGCGGGGAAAAATGGAGTCAGGCCAAGTGTTTTTCTCCAAATCGGTGAGATTTAATTGGCTCGGAGCGATGCGATACAACCACAAAGACGCTGTGTGCAAAGAAAGCAAAGATGAACAGGACACTTGGTAATGCTCTCCCCGCAAAGAAGGACAGTGCGAAACGAGAACAAATGCAACATTGAATAGGAGGATTCGTGAAGCACGGAATCGCCCGTCAAAGTGAGAGCGCGTCACATAGAAGCCGTAATACTGTTTTGGAAGGTCCTTCCCCCCCACCTGGAGCGGAAGCATCAAAAACGGGGCGCAAAACAAAAGGCCGCCACCGTCCTAGAGCAGGGGTGTCCAAACCTTTTCCCGTCAAAGGCATTTTCAAATGACTGCGGACGGCCCGGGCCCACCCCAAAGCCGGCATCTTCCCGCCGCTTCCAAATGATCACCGGCCTGCGCGAGAAACGGCGGGACTGCCGTACTTCCCGTTTTTCAGATGGTTGCTTTCGATTCATCACCGCCGAGCATTTTTCAGACAATTATCGAACGTAATTGGGACTCGATTGCAGGGTTAGCATTGGTGGCCCGACCGCCGGGCGGCGAGCATTTCGGTCCCGGACGTACGAAATACATTTTTTGGGCCTTTTCGTACCGTTGTCTTTGGACACCCCGGCTCTGGAAGTCCAACATCAACATTGGAGTTTTTTTTGTGAGTTTCTGAAAAGTGCGAGCATAAAAGTGTGGCGTAGCAATGGCAAAAGCATATGTGACATAAAAAAAAAACCCAATTCTTCAAAGAAGATTATATCAGAGATATCTAAGCAGCTCGTCTGGTTATGACTGGGGAAAAAGGTGCATGCTGCGAGGCTGACCGTGTCAACGAACAGGCCAAAATGAAAACAGAGAAAGAACCTGCACAACAAGAGGAGGGGAGCTTCTTCTTCTTCTTCTTCTTCTCATCCCGGCGTCAGCTCTGACTCACTCGTCATCGCTGATGTCAGACGGTTCCTGCGGAGACACGCAAAGAAGCGGCGAGGCTTAGTTGTCTGCAGGCGCGCGGCCTCAAGCGCCCCCCGCGGCATTCTATCGACGGGAGCATCTTTCCAACAACGGCCGCTGTCCTTTTTCCGCCCGGACCGATCAATCATGAATTCAGCCCTTTTTGAAGACTGAAGATCATCGGAGCAGACCGCGCGTCTTGTACGGCGGAGCGAACGGAGTCTTCGGGGCCAGGGGTCGTCAGTGCATCCCAGTACATTTGGGGCGACAGCTGTCCAAAGTCGTCGTGCGCCCGCAACACGCATAGTAAACGTCAAGCGGACGCGTCATTCACGTTTTGACCGGGTGTTGGGGGGATCCCTCACCAGTACACCACAGAGCAGGGGGGGTTTCCCAAAATGCTTCCTCGGAGGACCGCATACAGAAAAACGGAAAGTCGTTTCAAATGGAATGATCTTTCTTCACTCCAGGGTTTTGAGAAAGGTCAACAGTGTTCTCCTTTCAATCCTAAATGCTTGATTTGTATCTTTGAAGAGTGAGAACAGTCTCCAAACAAATGTCTTGGTGGTGCTGACATCTTCCCTTCTCACTCTGCTCACCTTCACCTTTTTTCAACGAATCCTGCGCTCGGACAAATGGACGGCGGGCCGCAAACGGCCCCCGTTTGCGGCCCGCTGCCACAAAAGCAACGGGACGAGGCTGCAGGTGCGTCAAATGGAAGTGTCCGACTTTAGAATGGGAAAACCCTCGGCCCCTCGTAGCGACATCCGTTGGCTAACTTTTCCGGCAGCACTGCGCGCGGCGGCTCTTTCTGGGCTTTGGACTTACATTGGCGTCCTGGTCGTCGTCGCTTTCGTCGTCACTGACGACGGGCTTGGCCTTGGCTCGGGCCTGCCTCTTCTTGCCCCGCTCGGCGCTCCCGCGGCCCTCCTTGCTCAGCTTGATCTTCACCCACACCGGCTTGGCTGGAGCCCGCAAACAAGAACGGTACTTTTCTTTTGCTTGTTATGGGTTTTTTTTCCTTCTTATTTTGTCCTCGGGCAGAATGACTATCGGGTGGGAGTTAAATGAGGCTCGCCGCGCGGGACGACTGTCTGGCTCTGCGCTGCGGCATTTCAACGAGAGCGAGCGAGCGAGCGAGCGTGCGCGCGTGCTCACCCTCAGCCTCCGAGTCTTCCTCCTCGTCCTCCTCTTCGTCGTCGTCCTCGCTGTCGTCCTCGCTCTCCTCGTCCTTGGCGATCTTCTGCCTGGCGCTCTTGAACACCGACTGGAGCACGATGGAGTCCTCGTAGATCTAGGGCGACATGTCGGCAAAGGTGCGTGACTTTCGTACAGCCGGGTCACGTCCTTTTTGGGTCGGCATCTGAAGCGCCCGCCGCTTCTATTTGAAAGGAGCCCATTTTTTTGCTCTCCGCTCTAAACCCTCTTGAAAAGGGCTCGGCACCCGAGACGAAAATGCGAATTCGACAGCGGGACTCATGGCGGAAACCAAGACCCGAGAGATGGGATTCGGCTGCTGTCGAGTGCAGACGCTCGTTTGAAGCTCGAAATGCCTCCAACCAACTCTTACCCCGACTTGAAGCCCTGACGTTGAAACCCTGATCGCGGCTGATTTATTCAGGTGTTGACTGATTTCCTTTCAACACCACCCGAGAAGCAGACACCATTTTCTTTGGAGAGGGATTGATTTCAAAGCTTTGTTTTGTGGGTTCTTTTAGGTTGAAAAAAGCAAAAGGGCCCGCAGAGATGAGGTCAACTCCAGCCGAGGCGATTGTACTTCCGCTGACCTGAGATCCCTCCAGGTTGAAGGTCTGCGCGTTGTGACAGAGCAGCATGACGTCCTTCTCCAGGTCACCGACGCTGCGGTACTTGTGGCTCCTGACGCGCTCCTGCCGAGCGAGAGCGAGAGCGCGCTTAAGCGAGAGCGCTTGAGCCCGGAAAGCCCCGAACCTTGACGGGCGCGGACCTTGATCTTCTTGAAGTCCACGGGCTTTCGGATCAGCTCGTAATATTCCGGAAGCTCCTTTCTGGACGGCAGCTGGACAAAGACCTCGCTGAGCTGTCTGCCGGCCCTGAAAAATACGACAAAAGCGGCCCGTTTGCTGCCGGAAACTCATTTGAAACACTCGGCCTGACTTCCAACCAGGGCGCGACCGACTCGATCGTCGTTTTTCAAAATAAGAAGAATCGGCTGGAGTTTTGCCGCTTAAAGCGTCAACGTGCGGCGCACCTGCGCAGATTTGGTCGCCCCCCCCCCCCTTTTCTTTACACCTTGAGGCGCAACCGAGCACCTTCTCGGATCCCCTGGTGTCAAAAATGGATGGAAACGGTAGCCGGAGGCCGTTTGCTCTGTGGGTAAATTGATCAAAGGATCGACCGCGAGCACCAGGGTGAAAAATGTTTGCCGCTGATCGTTCCCCAAATCCTCGATTGCTTGGCTCCTTGAAAAGCCTCACCCTTGTCCGGAATCCCGGCCAGGCTCGAACGTTTGAACGGCCAAGCTCGAGCGGGAGGTCCTCACCCGTCTCTGTAGTTGATGACGGTGTCGATGATGGTGTTCATCTGCTTGGTGAGTTTGGGCGGGTTGGGCGAGAGCTTCTCGGCGGGCGGGCGCCCTCGCCTCTTCTTGGCCTTGGCGCCCCAGTCCTCCCTGGCCGACGGCTCCTTGTCCTGCCGCCGCTTGCGTTTGCGCTTCTTCAGTCGGATCTCCTCCTCCATCTCCTCCAGGTTGCCGTCCTCGATGGCCTGACGGCGACAAACGCGGCGGCCGATTTGAAAGCCAAATTCCCAAGGCTAACTCTGGCTTGAAGCCCCACTTTGAAAAGCTGAGCGAAACCCCAACCCGGGACGCTCAACCGAATCGTGAACTTGAAGCGGCTTCCCGGACGCCAGCTTTACCCGCTCATTGAAATCCTAATTTGAAAAGCGTCACTCTTGCGAGAAACCCAGATGTTTGCTTCGAACCCGAGCTTTCTGTGAAAGCCTCACCCTGGTTTTGAAAGCCACGGTGCCTTGGTGAAACCCGCGACATTGGTTGAGACGCAAGTTTGAAAACCTAAGCCCCGCTCGACAGCCTCATTTGGAATGGAAAGCCTACTCGGGGACTGGAACTCTTGCTCGAAAGCCTACTCCTTGCCTCCACCTCGACTTTGAAACCTTTGTCAATTCCTCAGCGTGGCTTCAAAAGGCCAATTTGAAGCCCCAAGAAGAAGAGCTTGAAACGCTCATGATTGATGAAGAGCCTACACGTCCGAAACCTAAACCTTGTTTGAGACGCGAAAGGCCGACTGGAGAGCCGGACCCTCGCTCAACACATCAATTTGAGGCGAAGCGCAAACGCTCGATGAAACCCGAACGCGAAACCCGAGCGGAGATCTGAAATCCAATTTGGAAACTCCAAGTCGGGAAACATTGGCGGTGGCGCGTTCGTTCTCGGCGCTTCGCACAAACGTGCCGACCGGACGGCAAAGAAACAGCCGACGCGACTTTTACCCGCAGCCACTGCTTCTCGGTCAGCGCGTCGCTGTAGTCCACGTCGCGGCGACAGCGGGACCCTCGGCCAAACATCTTCTCCTCCTCCTCCTCGTAGGTGAGGCGCTCCACCTCGGCGTCGTCCTTGATGATCCAGGAGGGCAGCTCGTCCTCCTCCATCAGGCGCGGCTTACGTTTCGGGTTGCGGGCGTCCTCCCGCCGCCGGTCCATGTCAAAGCGCTGCAACCGCGCGGTCGGCTTGAGTGGGAGCGCGGCGACCGCTCGGGTATCTCGTCCCCAACAAACGACACCCGGCTTCCTTACCATGTACAGCTCAAACTCGTCCTCATTGCGGGCGATCATCTGGTTGAGGGTTTCGTCATCCGGTACCTCATTTTCTTCCTGCATGTGAGGGCGATGGTAGAAAACCGTTCAACTACAAAGACAGATCTTCATTCATTTTTTTTCAATTACAAAAAAAAAAAGATTCCGTCTCTCGGCAAATCATCATCATCATCATCATCATCATCAAGGCATGAAAAGGTTCAATCCAATAATGACTCCAAGTCGTCGAAATCAGTCAACAACAGACCTCGTTCTGCTCCTCGTGCTCGAGGATGGCCTGCAGAAAGGCGCGGCGCTCGTGGCTGGAGGACTTCTGGTCGAACATGCCGGCCTGGATCACCTTCTGGTCCACGTTGAGCTTGTACTTGGCGGCCGCCAGGATCTTCTCCTCCACGCTGTTGACGGTGCACAGGCGCAGCACGCGCACCTCGTTCTGCTGCCCGATGCGGTGGGCGCGGTCCTGCGCCTGCAGGTCCTGAAAATGGTCGGCGAGATGCGCCTTTCATTTATTTGCTGGTCGTACGCTCTACGCATTTTCATCGATACAGCGCACAATTTTCGGCGAACACTGGTGGCCAAGTATGTTAAAAAAAGAAAACGCACACAATTTGCCACTGGTATTTCGGCCAACGTTCCCTTCAAATTTCCACGCGCCCGAGCATTCACACAAACTCCAGAGTGAGCAACGTGAGAGGCTCGCACGCGGCGGGCCGAACCGCTCCCCACACCCGTCCAAAACCTGAGATCGTAAGCGATGTGCGGGAATGCTGTTACCGTGACAACAGCGCAGCCGGCTCAAGCGCGGTCGTGCTGATCAACCGCGGCACTCGCGACACACACAGATGGCTTCCATTTTAGGCCCGTGTTCAAATGTAGAGCGCAGCGTGGTTGGCATGGATGCTCACCCCACCAACACATACACACCTGATGGGGGTTCCAGTCGCTGTCAAAGATAACGACGGTGTCGGCGGCTTGCAGATTGAGTCCGAGGCCGCCGGCCCGGGTGCTGAGCAGGAAGATGAAGTACTGCGATCCCGCCTCGTTGAATTTCTTCAGCAGCAACGCTCGGTCATCTGACTTGGTGGTTCCTGAAACCATCAAAGAACCGACGCCGTCGCGGCTTGCGTTTGAGGAGGCAAAATGTGATCGAAGCGGCCCGAAAGCCTCTTCGAGCGCCGTGCCTCACGTGGACCATACGTGCTCATTTCTCTTCCGGTTACCGAGCCCGAAAATTATGATGGAGCTCCACCTCCATGTGAATTTACGAGTTGCCGAGATCAAATGTGATGAGAAGGTGTCACGACTCCAAAACGTGCTGCCTTTACTTCACTTTTCCATTTTACGACCATCGTAGTGCAATCTTACCGTCCAGGCGCAGATATTGAAAGTTGCGGTAGCCGAAGTAGTCCTCCATGATGGTCATGAGCGAGGGCATCTGGCAGAAGAGCAGCACCCGGTGGTTGGTGGCCTGCAGCTTGGGCAGGATGCGATCCAGGAGCTCAAACTTCCCGGAGGCTCGGTACAGGTCGGGCCTGCGTTGGGAACGGACGGCGCAATTACTGACCGACAATATGACCGTCCGCCGCACGTGGCCCTGACGTCTCAAGTCCTTTCCCGGCTCATCGGTACAGCACTAATATTGATCGTTCTACGCAGAGGGCAAAAGGGCCGATGAATGGGAGTCCCGTTCGACTGTCTACTGTCGCTTCAAGGGCGAATGAGAGCGAAGAAGGGCGCACTCTGCCTTGGCTTTGCAGTAGAGGGACGGTCGTCTCAAAACAGGGCCATTTCGGCGAGACTTGGTCTTAGGGGTAGTATGGCAGAGGTGTGTTACAGACCGCTTGTTAAAAAAAAAAAATTCTCAGCGAACTTAGTGGAATTTGTGAATTCAAATGAGGTCGCAGGTGCCGATGACTAAGCAGCTAAATCGCAGATGATGAGTGCCACACACTTGCCATCGTGTCTGTTGTTGTCACATGAGAATGCTTTGCAGCCCAAGCACTGGCCACACACGCGGCAGCTGCTATCGGCAGAGACATCCAGCATTCGTGACGCCGCCTTTCCGACCGAGACGGCTCAAATGACGCCCGCGCCGCGCTAATGACGAGCGGCGGACAATGCTTGGCAATTACTGGCACGCCATGTTGGCTCCACATCAAATCATTTGTCTTTGCCAAGCACGGGGGTCGGAAAACAGACAAAAGGGAGCCTTTTGTTCCCTCCAACTTACCCGCTGATGATGCCGTTGGGGTAGCCCAAATGCTCGGCAAATGACTCCTGCGGGAGAGAATTAAACGATCAGAGGACGGCTCTCCTGTGGCTGGAGCCGCGTTTTACAGATTGCTCCTAATTAGCACACAGACGGAGTTGACCTCGATATGCTGGAACATGTACGGGTGGTTGCAGATCTTCTTCAGCTGCATGATCGTGTTCATCAGGGTCTTCGCTCCCCCTTTGCCCTGAACACCAAAAGGGCGTCAATGAATGCCACGTGGAGCCAACGTGGGATGAAAGCAAGCGCCGTTCGTTGGCGAGGGTTCCCCAGAGTCGGTACCTTTTTGTCTTTCTCCGAGCCATCGGTGAGGAGGATTCCCTTTTGCATGTGGCGGTACAAGACCTTCTGTATGGCGGACATGTCGCATTTGATAACATACTCCACCTGTGCAAAAGGAAAAATCGGCAAAGTGAGCCGCGCGAAATGCAGGCATCCGGTGAATCTCTGCAAATGTGGCATGCGGTATTTCATCCCTGAAAGTTGAAAGCGGATCGCTGGATTCATTTCCATTATTCGTTCAAGCAGGCCTTGATTTTGAACAGGGACGTGAGAGTTCACAAAAAGGCCTTCAATGACTGACTGCTTGGGAGTCACCTTTGAATCTGCTAAGCAGTTCTCCAAATTGGGTGAGGGGGGGCATCCCAAAAGGTGTAATTAGTTGAAATGATTCTAAATTAATTTTGGGGGTCAGAATGAAAAGACAAATCTTTACCCACAACGACTTCAAAGGACATGGGGCAGACGGCAGAAAACGAGATCCCAAAACAGTGTTTGCTCATCAATTATTTTGGTGTTGGGGTCGAGTTATCCGATTTGAAAATTTTGCATCTGCCTCAAAATTGACCCAAAGGGAGGAGGTGAAGCATCTTTGCGACTCCTTTTGGGGTGTTAGGCCCCAGTGCGATATGCTTCTCAAAACGTGCGGTGACTTTATCGCTTCTCAAAACGTGCGGCGACTTTATCGTCGCCAAAATCGGCCGACTTTGCGGCTCTCACGACCGACGCCGTGAAACCCGCCGCAGTCAAGTCAATGACCAAATGCGAAGCTTCTCACCTTCTCGGGCAGCTGAGACTCCACCTCCTTCTTCAGGCGGCGCAGCAGAAAGGGGCGGAGAACCTTGTGCAGACGTCGAATAATCAAGATGGTCTCCTCCTCGTTGAGGTCCACCTGAACAAAGTTTTGTCAAGAGCAACTTCTCAATAGGAACAATCAAAGCGCAACCGGGCCACCCCAACGGCACGCAGGCCCTGGCGGCGGGAAGCGAGACTGATAGAAATTGAAGATGCGCACCCTCTCGCCCGTCATGGCGAAGGGCGCGTTGAACCACTGCTCGAAGGTGCTGCAGCTCTTGAAGATGGTGGGCAGCAGGAAGTTAAGCAGCGCCCAGAGCTCGGGCAGCTTGTTCTGCAGCGGCGTGCCGGTGAGCAGCAGGCGGCGTGGCGCCACGTAGTGCGTGTTCAGCACCTGCGTCAGCTTGCAGTGGTGGTTCTTCATGCGGTGGCCTTCGTCCACGATCATGTACTTCCAACGGATCTGGAAAGGGGACTCCGTTCAGTCGTGCGGAAAAGGACGGAAAACATTCTGCTCCTTTTGCATTTTGATGAGTCCAATGAGGAAAAGCCGATGAAAAAAGCTTTTGCGCAATCTCACATTCAGGAACCTCTCGTTCAATGCTCCGCTTAGGGGAAAGATGCGCCTTTGAAGGCTTCAAAATTTGAAAAAGGCAAGCCAAATATCCCAGCGGGCCAGATGGGTAGAAGTCGTGGGGCTTTTTGCTTGCTGGCGAGCTAACAGGTTCCTGGAAGCTCTTTGGAGGCCATAGACCAGTTGCATCAAGGTGTGTCCACATGCAGTCGCCGAGATGCTTTGGGGAACGTCAACCAACCGCTTTATTCAACGCAGCGGCACGCTCATTCAGCTTGCGGCTAACGCCGCGTGACATTCGAGCACATGCTTCCTGCTAATTAGGTACCCAATGCATTTGCATTCCGATATATTGCGGTGACCTGAATAACACAACACACTTGGGAATGGAAATAACTACGTCGAGCCATTCTGTAAAGTGCGGCATCCGGGAAAAATACATGTTGGCGTGCAGCTAGCCAAGCGCGCACTGTGGTGGTAGACATGGGCCCAAGTAATTCGAAGCAATGAGCTGAGGTAGGGTTCAAAAAGAAAATTTGGTCTCACCTTGGCCAGTATGTGCTTGTCCTTGATGATGTACTCGTATGTGGTCAGCAGAACGTTGAACTTGCCGCTGCGGAGCTGCGGCACCAGTCCTCGGCGCAGGCCGGGGGTACCCTTTCAGTGGAGAAAGGCAGAGATTTATTTAGTTAGTTTGGACAAATCATGCATATTCTCAAGGAAGAAAGGCAGAGATTTATTTAGTTAGTTAGTTTGGACAAATCATGCATATTCTCAAGGGCTTTTTGATTTTGATTTTTTTTTTAACCTTGTATGCAATTTTGACCACAGACGGGGCCCACTTGTCAAGCTCGTAGATCCAGTTGGATAAGGTCCTGAAAGCCAAAAAAATGGATATGAATTATAGAGATGCACGCAAGCTTACCCAAAGCAAGACTTCTTTCCATGCTGCACTGAGTCAAATTATTGCTTGCTATCAGAGACTTTTGGAAGGCGTTTGGAATTGGCTGGCCGGTCAAGGAGAAAAGGGGCAAACGGTTGAGTTCATGTTAAAAGATGACATCTGAGCTTTAATCTGCCAAAACAGTCATTCGAGAAGACAGCGTAGTCTTCCGCTGTCTGCACACCCTGGAGAAATAGCATCCAGTTGAAGTGAGAACTATGGACTAATCATGTCCAGTAACAAAGCTGCGAAACAAATAAAAATGCATTTTCAAATAGCACCCAGAAACAATCGGACAAGTGAGCAAATCGGCTCTTGGAAAGCTGGCGAGCTCTCGTTTATTTACTGCATTGATGAGAGGGTGGGAGGGAGAGGGGGAGAGAGAGAGAGAGCTGCTCAGCCAAGGAGTCGGAACCGGGTGATGACGCAAATCTACAATCTTTGTTTGAGTCTAATATTGTATGTGTGTGCAGTTTTCTGAATGCAAAGGTTTACGGTTGTGCTTTTCTGTCGATTCTTGATGAAGTTCTTGATATCCAAGACTGTCTGGTGTGTTTGAATTGAATGGTCAACGGTCAGCGGGCTGTCACTTGCATGGCGCTTTTCTACCTCGGGTACTCAACGCGCTTCACACTGTCATCTCATTCACCTCCTGATGGCGCAGTGTCAGGAGGAACAGGGGTTTCCGTGTCTTGCCCAAGGGCACTCCGACGCCAGCGTTACGTCAGATGCGAGCATAAGGAAGCTCCTGTCTCATCTTCACATTTGTATGGTAATGAGGAAGAGGCGCGCACGCTGCTTGTGCGAGAGGGCTGGAGTGGCGTCCAAGGATTTGAAGGGATTAATGGTGGGCAAAAGCAGCCCAAGATAAATTGCTGCTTCCAATCAAAGACTGAGGAGCTTGTTTGATTTATACCTTGCAAAGTTTTGCGCCGCCTCAGTTGACATCAAGTGTTGGTAATCCGGCAGCGACTCATCATCGTGCGGCGCACAGGCTGCCCGCTTATCTGTGTTTGTTTAGCCGGCGCAATACGTAACATCAAAAAGTCAGGAAGTATTCATTAGCTGCAACCGGATTTCATGCTGCTGGAATAAACAGATAAACGTAATAAATAAATAAATAAATAAATAAAATGAGGGGAGGGGTTGAGAAAATGTGTGTTGTGTTAGTGTGTGTGTGTGTGTGTGTGTCTATAATGTGGAAATAAGAGCAAATATGACACATCATTTTCTGTATTAGGGATTAATTTGGTTGTAAATTAGGGTTTAAAATTAGGATTCCAAACCTAGGTAAGAAAAGGTTAGGCTTACTTTCAAATGAAGGTTAATCATTCAAATTGGACTTCATGTCGGGGATGAGGTTTCACAATGGAGTTTAGAAATTCAGGTTTCAAGGCAGAGTTAGGGTTTGAAATTTCGATTTCGAGGCAGGATTAGGATTTCAAATTAGGCAGCCAAAGCAATGTTATGGCATCAAGCCTGGATTGGTAGTGCGAAGAAGAGAGCCCGACTCCTTTTGCAAGCTACAATCTCCTGCTTTACTTCGCCGAACCCCAAGTAGCCCCCTCGACCCAGTGCTGTACTACCAAGTGTGAGAAAGGCCCTACGCATCGGGTCACTCGAGAAAAGCCTTCAGTGGGCGGGCGAGTACTGACGAGAGCGGCACGATGATGAGATAGGGCCCGTTGAGCCTCTTGTGCTCCATCAGGTACGTGATGAGGGCGATGGTTTGGATGGTCTTGCCCAGGCCCATCTCGTCAGCCAAGATGCCGTTTAAGTTGTTGTTGTACAGCGACACCATCCACTCCAGGCCTTGAATCTGCACAGGGCACAGGAAAGAAGCGAGAGCATTGTCATGTACCTTTTAACACTCCCTAGGATACGCACGACAATAAAAAGTGTGTTGGAACATGAAAGCGATAATAGCCGGGGGGGTATCCAAAAGAGGAAAAATAGCATAGTGGAGGCGTGGCCATCGGAATAACAAATTAGGGCTAATCCGCTCTCTTCCCAGATGACTAAGTCATGCAGACTGAAAAAATAAAGCTGCTTAGCATATGACAGCTGGAGAAAAGACATCGACAACAAAAAGACCATTTGCAGGAAACACATGTGAGGCTCAGAGGATATGCAGGGCGACTGTCAAAGCCTTCCAAATGGCTAACAAGACTCGAACTACAAGGTCTTAAGAGAGGACAGTGCATCTCACCTTATTCAGTGCATGCCGCGGACACACCAACGGCGTTTGAGAGCCGAGACAAGGGCTTGATTTGTCACAAATTTGAAGCCTCGTTTTATATGCTTGGCAATTTTTGTTGTTGTAGTAGTGTAATATCATTCAAATTTGGCAGGGTTCTAAGCCACGCTCTGGCACTTGACACTCATGAGTCAAATTTGGAAGACATTTGGAGTTGGTTTTGCTTTACGGGGACTTTCCTTCAAATCTAAATTGTGTCACTCATTTGCTCCAGTGGAGTTGTGCAACTTCTCTTTTGGTAACTGAGAATATGAGCATGAAATTGCTCCTTTGTCCAAGATTAACAAATGATGTCATCCGGTCTTGAAGTCGAGAATGAAACCAATTTTCCTCAAACGGAGTCAATCCAGGAAATAACAAGGAATTCACCCCCGCCCCCACCAGGTGCAATTGGCCAAAAGTGGCCACAATAGAGCTAAATGCTACAATTTGATATAAACGGCGTCTATTACTTCTATCGCTCAAAACCTGAAGTTGGGAAAGAACAAAATCAGATCAAAATACACGCGCTTGGCGAGTTTTGATTACGTTTGCAATCACAGAGCTAAAGTGCTTAAAAGGAAAGCGAGGCGGGCAACAATGGGAGGTAGACCCCAGAGGGCTTTTAAATATTTAGTTAGCAAGTCTTTTCAGCACCTTTGATGGGACACCTAGTCATCGTTTTGAGAGTCTATTTTGATTTGTGGCCAGTGAGAAGACTACTCAGATACGGCTGGGAGGGCGCTCCTCGGGGGTGTACGATTTTTCAACCTCGCGGTACTTGAATGAGTAGTCTGAAATGCACCAAATGTTCCAACGGGATCATTGCCGTTGTGTTTAATTCATTCTTTTTCTGCAATGATGTTAGCTGTCAGACGCGGAGCGGCGTTGGCATGCTCGCTGTGAGCTGACATTGCGCCGTGCCCTTTTGATGATCGGAATTAAGACCCCCGTGCCACCTCGCCGTCTAGCGTCCCTCACTCTCTCCTCATTGTCTCTGAGTGGCCGCTCTCAAACTGCAGGTCTGTGAGTTTGAGAGCCCCCCCGAGTTTGGTCTCGGCTAAATTGCTCTCCATCTTTGGGGCGGAGGGAGTTCGGTTTTTGGTTATGGGCTCCCAGAGAAACATTAGCAGTGCGCACCGCACGCATTTACCTGGTAGTGTTTCAACGAGCCGTTAATCAGAAGAGACGACTGCTTCTCCACCCTCTCGATGACGGCGTGGGCCACGCCGTAGTAGGACTGCAGGCTGGTCTCGTCAGTGGGCACGCTGTACTCGTCGTCCACGTCCTGCTTGGCTGACCTGAACGTGTGTGTGTGTGTGTGTGTGTGTGTGTGTGTGTGTGTGTGTCAACATCAGACTCACATCCTCATTCCATTGCTATATGCTGCTTGTTAAAAAAATGAAGATAAGAAGTACAATACTCGATAATGTGCTTGGCCTCTCCAGCGGGATCTTCTATGGTCTTGTCATTTTCACCCTTGGCCGCCTCTTCCTCCTCCTTGTGACATAAAATACACTTTGAGGATCAAGGCGTGTGTAAGTATTACAAGTGGTACTGTAGTTGTGATGTGGAGCATGGCATGGAGAGAGAGCATATCTGAAATGTGCAAGACTACTGCCCCCTGGTGGATTGGCGTTGTATTGCCAATAACGCTGACTTGACTTGATTGTGAGGAGTGTCCATTTGGCTTTTTGTTTGATGGTGTGCCATGAGAGTTTTCTGTGTCTTGACCCAAAGGTTGGAAAACAATGCAGTCGTGCTGCCCTCCGTGAGTGAGTGTAAGCGGGAAAAAAAAAAGACACTTATGACTCACTGACCTCCTCCTCAAACTCGGAGCCGCTCTCCTCGCTGTCTGACCTCGGCGCAACCTCGTACCTGTGGTAAGGACAAAAAGCCGACGCTTGAATCAACACGTCTATTATTGAGCAGGGAGACCCAGAAACTAGAGCCAAAAGAACGAGTCTCCTCACCCGGGGTTCATCTCGAGCCAGGCCTCCAGCTGGCTGGATTTGGGCGCCTCAGTACCCTGCAAAACTTTGCCCGTCTCCGTCTGGATGACCTTGACGGGCAGCTCGCTCATCTGGCTGCTCTCGTCCATTGGCTGCGAACACACCAGGAGATGTCAATGATGGCATATTGTTTTCAGAGCGACCTCAAACGACACCTCGCCTGTGTCCTGCTGGTTGGCGAGCGATGAACCGTGCATTAGCAACCATCGACCGATTTGCCGCTTTCACGGCTACCCGCACTAAAAACAGATTAGCCATTGAGGGAGGCGGGCGGTTGATAAACAAACAAACAAATAAAAAAAGGCTCCCTGTACAATGACAATAATTATATTCCTGCACAACGGCCAACGCTTTTATCTGGTCTACCATTTGAAATAAAGTAATTTCTTCATCCTCGCCTCGCTGACTGTCCGTTTATACTGACCACAAATAATAAATCCTCGTCCGAAAGGTGTTATTTGCTGCTGGGTCTCAGCAGACTAAGAGTAAGATAAACAGACCCATTCAAGAAAAAAGAGCAGCTTAGTGAAATGGCCCAGGAAAACCCCAGATAAGGAATTTAAGGAGCTTTGCGAGTTGGCTTGCATGAGGCAGGGAAAGATAGCACAGGGAAAACAGATCATGTACAAGAAAGCAGCGGGAAATTTTGGCCTTGAAGCTGTTTAAGCGGTCAAAGTGGGGTTTTTTTGTTGTTGTTTTTTTTTTTTTAAGAGCAGCTACGTGAGTGCGGGCATGCATGAGGTAGGCAAGCGTGTTCTGGATAAACAGCTAACACAACGCTCTCAAACAGGAAAGCGATGATTAAAAAAAATGGGGGTGGTCTGCGGGGGTTAAAGCAGTTTTGCTAATAAAACAGTTGATTTTGCAAGTGGAGGGAGTAGTTGCGTTTGAAGCAGGCGAGGGGCACGGAGGCAAGTTGAACAGATAACGTCGTGTTTGACAGGAAAACGACGACCGCCGCCGTTGTACCTCTCCATCAGGTCCGATGGCGCTGGTGCCTTCGCCGGCCTCTCCGTCAACTCTCTAGACATGGGAGTACATTCAAGTCATTACACATTGGGGGTCTCCGCGGTCTTTTTCAAGTCCATCATCGTTACGTACTGCCTTCTTCTTCTTCTTGCGTCGCTTCTTCTCCTTTGCCGCCTGCGCGGCTTTGTGCTCGTACACCAAGGTGGTGAGGTTGGCCACGTACTCGTCCGTCTGCTGCAGCAGGTAAGCCAAGCGCTTGTCCTTCTTCTGGTCGATCAGTTTTCGATAGCCCTCCTCATCCTCCGCCTGGCATATGGAAGGAAGGTGTGCTGTTGTCAATTGCTGCGGGAGATGCTTGCGATCTTATTTCTTGACCAAATGAAAGTTGCCCTGTATTGTCAGCGTTTTGGATGTTTCCGTAAGCAGTCCTCCAGAGGCGGTGACCGGGCCTCCTCAGAATCAGTGTTGTTTTCGTCAATGACGATGACGAAATGATTTCGTTAACGCCCCTTTTATTTTTCATGACGATGACGAGATGATGATGAGCGAGCTAAACGGGGCTCTTTGATGACTAAAATATGACGTGAGGTCTGTGAGTTTTTGTTGACGAGAGTGGACAAAATTGTCGGCGTGTGGTGCAAAATGCATGACACACCCTCCTATGGTGCATGTCGTCTGTCTGTCAAAAAATATCAGCAATGCTGCTGCAACCTATTCTGGTTTGGTCACGCCCACTACCTGGCCGCCACGCAGGTCACGCGCACACACCCGCACAACACAACACAAAACGTCCACGGTCAATGGTCTCTCACACATGGACGCGCTTTCCGTGGATGTACCACGGCGGCAGTGTCAACAAAGGGGCTCGGTAGTCGGAAACAAAGAAAAGATCTACGGACACGCTTTCTGTACAACGCAGCGGAAAGAACCATGTCGATTTGAACCCTTCAATTTTCTACTTGCGCCCCAAAACATTCAGGTTAGGGGCCCACTGTGCTACGAGTAAAAACAAAAACCAATTAATGTGTCGACCTGTTGAGGACAACACCAACATATTCCAGTGAATTGAGGTTGTTACCATAAGTCTCCTCATTCTCTCCTTCTCAATCCTCTCAGTCTCTTTCTTCTGCTCCCGCTCCGTGTTGGTGTGCCAGGTGGCAATGGCTCGGGTGAGCTTCTGCATTTTCCCAGACATGGAGCGGTGGTACTCCTTGAAGTCTTTGGCATGCTGGAGAATACTGTTGAGGTACTCCTGGAGAGAGAGGCGGAGGGAAAAATGATCAGCAAGCCATATTTTCCGCGTGCGGCTCGTGTGATGATTTTGCCATATTTGTTTTCTCTTTTCCCAACCTGGTGCTTCTGCCGACGCTTCTTCTCTTGCTCCAACTTCTGCTGCTTCTCCAGCTTCTCGGTCATGCGTGCCTCCCGCAGTGTCTGTCGCTTGCTGCGGCGGTACGCCTTGGAATTGAGGGCCGTTTCCAGGGTGGTGTCCCGGCGCATGCACGCCACTACATCCTGCCTCAGCTGAGGGGAGGGGGACACACACAGACACATATATACATACATAAATATATACACATACACGCACACATGCCCGCCCCCCATTTTTTTTTGGGGGG